GATCCCTGGGATCACACACCAGCACATGGAAGGATCCCTGGGATCACGCTCCCTGTCCCAGCCCACGGAAGGGACCCTGATCCCACCCCCCGTCCCATCCCACACCCCCCCTCACCCTGACGATGTAGACCCGGACCAGGACGTTGACGGGGTCGTTGCTGGGGATCCCCTGGAACATCCCAAGGGTGGGGTCATGTCCCACCTCCCTGGTGACATCCTCGGGCAGTGGCACCTTGTACACACACAGGGAGCCCTGGAACAAGGGAGGACCCAGCCCTCAATGAGTGGGAGTGTAATAAATTAGCAGCAGTAGTTTAATTTACTCATCAAATTAGTAGTAGTAGTTTACTCATTAAATTGTATTGTCTTATATACCTATATAGTATTGCATGTTATATTCTATTCTTATATACATATATATGTTATTATAATCAATGTTCTGTTAAGGTTGGGAGGCTGCAAGTTGCAGAATGGTTCATTATTCTGTCAGCATTGTAAGCTGATAGTCCTGCAGCTTGCAGTCCTTAAGCTGGAAAGACAAATTATTGTGCCTTGCTGAATAAGTATTTTGTATCTTATTTTTCTAAATTGCCTGAATAAGTATTTTGTATCTTATTTTTCTAAATTGTCTCACAGCACACGCATAAAGTAACGAAGGCAAGGACAAGGATCAAAGGGTCAAGAACGAGGATGATAAAGAGAATCCAGGATGGACATCTGGAGATATCTACACACTAAGCTACACACTAGGCCTCAAGGACTAAGGACTGATTAAAACTATGGGTAGGAAAGCACCTGGCAACTGAAACGGGCCTGCAAAAGAAACAACCAAGAACCAGACCTGTGAACTCAGATCCGGGTTTTTAGATCGTGTAGACCTGTTTTGTTTTCGTCCCTTTTCATCCTATTTTGTCCTTTTTCCCCTTCTCCCTTCCCCTTTTCCCTCTGGGAAGCTATTTAGGGTTTCTGGGGGTTATATATATATATATATACATATATATATATATATAAAATACTCTCACTGTATATATCTATTTTATACGTAAAATACATATTTTTGCTAGAACTTTGGCTGCTTGGGTTTTTTTTTTCTTCCCTCTCACTGTATATATCTATTTTATACGTAAAATATATATTTTTGCTAGAACTTTGGCTGCTTGGTGGTTTGTTTTTTTTTTGCTTCCCTCTCTGGGAAGCGGACCCTGTTGTCAAAATTTCGGAGACTTGGCAGGGAGCCAGCTCCAAACTTGCACAGAGGGGGGGCACAGAGCCCACCCCAGCACGGGGGGGTCCTGGCCAGCAACCCCCCTGCCCCTGGACACTCCTGGGCCCGGCACTGAAACAGGAGGGTAAAGCCCAAAAGAGTTAACTAAGAAACTTGGGCCTACTAACAAGTTACTTACATTCAAAACGATTTGTTCTGTTCTGCTAACTGGACCAGAGCTTAACAGAGTGCTAAAGGTACATGTAATGGGCCTAGAGGCAATAAATTAAGATTCAGTAAGCTAAAGTAGACCTTTGAAAAGGAGAAACAGGCGGGGAGCCAGGGCTTTCTCTCAAGAACAATGGAAAGGATGAAAGGTCGGACTGAGGAAGATGAGGATACGCCCCCTCCCCATGGGATGAAGATGGGATCTCCCCCTAAAATTGGGAATAGAGAGAAGCGCCGCCCCAAACTCCGCCTGAGCTCCACCCATACTCCACCTGTTATCAATATGTATCAATAGATGCTGTAATCACTTGAATATGCATTTAATCACACCTGAAAAATTGCATAAAACTGCTGATTTTGCGTGAAGCCTTTGAGCAAGTTTTTCCAGCAATAGCTGGCTTGCTCCCAGCGCTGCTAATAAATACCTTCGCTGCTTAAAGATAAAAAGTCTCTGAGCGGTTTCTCAGATGCGATTTTTCGGACTCAGCACTCGCCTTGAACCTGCCCACGATCCGCTCCTCCTCCGTGGCCGTGTCGTCGTTGTCCCCGATCTTGCCCCGGAGCAGGTTGAAGGTGTGCAGCCAGTCCTCGAAGTTGTCAAACTCCGACTCCAGCTCTTTGTTGAACACCTGGGATGGGAGGGAGAGGAGTTAAAAGAGGAGGAAATTGGGTTAAAAAAAACCAAACAAACAAACCACTGATGCCTGCGCAGCCGGTGCTAAGAAAAAAAAATTCGGGAGCTGTTAATTGAGGGTGAGATGAGGAAAGGGTTTAATTGTGCCAAGGCAAGAGATGTTACAAGACTCGTGCCTGAGATGTTTGTCAGAGACTGAAATAGTTAATGATTTATGCGTTCTAGTATTGCCAAGGGACTTTTGCAGGCTTTTGACTTTTGCGTTATGCCTCTGATGGGCAGTTGGGCCCATCCCTCCCTTCAGAGCTGAAGGTGTTGAACCCTAAAAAGGCAAGAAGATACCTCAGATGGGCAGTTGGACCCTAAAAAGGCAAGAAGATGCCTCAGATGGGCAGTTGGACCCTAAAAAGGCAAGAAGATGCCTCAGATGGGCAGTTGGACCCTAAAAAGGCAAGAAGATGCCTCAGATGGGCAGCTGGACCCTAAAAAGGCAAGAAGATGCCTCAGATGGGCAGTTGGACCCTAAAAAGGCAAGAAGATGCCTCAGATGGGCAGCTGGGCCCACCCCCCTCTCTGCCAATGTTGAAAGGCGGGAACCAGGCCAGATCCAGAAGCTCTGTGCAAGCCCAGGGAGAGGCTGGAGGCTCGAGACACGGCCCGTGACACTGATCATGGATATAAGAACTCACAGCTCCTTGGAGTGGGGGGGTTTCTCCTTCTCCCCCACCGCCTGCGGATCAAGACCACCGCTCCCAAGATTACCAAGCTACATCCCTGGATCCACTGAGTGACCACTGCTCTCAAGGTTGCCAAGCTGCATTGCTGACTCCACTGAGTGACCACTGCCCTCAAGATTATCAAGCTACATCCCTGG